CTCTCTCTCTCTCTCTCTCTCTCTCTCTCTCTCTCTCTCTCTCTCTCGTTTCGAAACACTAAACGGGAACGATAGCGGGAAGATGCGTTCCCATTAGCGGGAAGATGCGTTCCCGTTTAGTGTTTGGAAACGAGAGAGAGAGAGAGGGAGAGAGAGTGTGTCTCGTCTCTCAAAAAGAGAGAGAGAGAGAGGATGAACCCATTTATTTTTCTTTTTTTTTTTTTTCTTTTTTTTTCCCGTTTTTTTCGTCCACTTCACATGGACGTTCGGGATGACTGCGCCTGGTAGCCCCAGCCTCGGCATGGATCGGCGTACCGGTCGGCCGAGGCTCGGACTCGATAGTTGGGCCAGGTACTGGTGGTTTAAACCACCAGTACTTTGGCCCAGCTATCGGCCGCGGAAAGAAAAAAAAAAAACAGCTATCGGCCGCGAAAAAAAAAAGAGTAGAAACGTCTCTAGTCGGATGAATTTGGGCGCTCCTGTAGTAGCCCGTACGTTTCCTAAAATTGACGGGCACAACTCTAGGAAGTACTGGTGGTTTAACCATATCACCCTCTGGCATTGGTCAGATAGAAAGGTGAGGGGCAGAGAGATTCAGGGGCTAAGTGTGAGACGGGTTGTGGTAAGGAGAGGGCAAGCTGCCAGAGAGCTTGAGGGTCGATTGCCAGGTCGGGACTTTTTGTTTCTGCCATATCTCGGGCTTCGTCTATATTTTTCACAGCAAGTCGCATTTGGGACCATCGCTTTAATCCTGTGTCTATTGTCACCTGTCGTGTGGTGTGGCTATCTGCCTCTCCCCTGTTGACTTGTCTATGCCTTTTGACTTGTTGGGTGTGGTTTGAGATCATTTCCTGTGGATGCTATGTTGAAAGATTATGTACACCAGTCTGTCTGTCTGGTGGACGCAGCGCAGACCGCTGGGACAGGGGCAACTCCTTGTTAATGGGATCCCAGCGCAGTCCCAGCATGGTCCAACGTGGTCCCACTGTCCCAGTGCAGTTCAAGAGCGGTCCAAGCATGGTCCCAGTGTGGTCGCAGCCTTGGTGATTGTTTGGCTGTAGATAGGATATCGGCGATCAATGGTCCCAGCTCAGTCCCAGCCTGGTCCCATTGTGGTGCCTGGGGCAACGATGGTGTCGGTGCCACGGGGGAGAGGGAAATCAAAGTAGAAAAGCAAATAGTGGAAGTAGAAGGTGGGGATGGGTGGGGACAGGCAGGCATGGGCATGGACTACCAGCGGAACTACCGGTTATTGCAGAGCATAAAGCATTAACAGCGTGCGGATTCACACAGAAGGTCACTCCCCACCCGTGGCAGAATTCCCGCCATATCCCCTTCACGCTTTCGCTGAACCGGTTGATTGGAGATCGCTCAATCCAGTCAGCCAGTCTACAGGAAAGTGGTGGTGGAGAGGGACCGCCAACTGAGCGGTACTCTGATTGTGGTGGCGGTTGTGGGGCTGTGTGGGCGCAAGGAATGCATGGATTTGTGATCTGCTATTTGTTCACCATATCCTGCTCCAGCACTGGCGAGATAGAACGGAGCGCAAGCAGCTGGGACAGGGGCAACTTCTTGTTATCGGGGTCCCAACACAGGCCCAATGTGGACCTAGAGCGGTCCCGTTGCGGTCTCTACTTTTGCGATTGTTTGGTCATAGATAAGGTATGGTCCATCAGTGGTCCCAGCTCAGTTCCACCATGGTCCCAGCACCATGTTTGAAGCAGCCATGCCGTGGGCGCCATGAGAGAGCAGGAAACAAAACGGGAAGTAGAAGGCGGGGACGGGTGGGTGCGGGGGGGCGCGGGCGGGAACTACGGTGGAATTATGGGAGGCCGTGGAGCATAAAGCATCAAGAGCGGGTGGATCACACCTACACTCAAGATCACTCCCCACCTGCCAAGGAATTCCTGCCATATCCACTTGAGGCTTTCTTTTAACCGGATGATTGGCGATCGCCTAATCCCCACTGGTGGGGCAACAGGGAAGTGACGGTGGAGAGGGGCTTGCCGACTAGGCAACACTCTGATTGTGGTGGTGGTTCTGGGCATCTGCAGATGCAGGGAATGCATGGATTTGTGATCTGCTATTTGTTCACCATATTGTGCTCTGATGCTGGCCAAATAGAAAGGTGAGGAGCAAAAAGATCGATGGCCGAGTGGTTAAAAGCTACAGACTGTAAATCTTTTGAAGGTTATATTTCTACGTAGGTTTGAATCCTGCCTCTCCCGCTTCGTGGCCTCCATACATTCATGAATTACATGTAATATACTTGTGGGGGTGACAGTTTCGACACACACTATTCTATTATTATCTGTGGTAATTCTCTGTGTCTACTCGTCATTGCTAATTTAATTACGTATGATATTAATCCATATAGAACTGGACACTAAAGAAAAAGCTCGAGTCGAGTCGAGTCAAGAGTATATAGGTAATGAAAATAATAAGAAATTAAATTCAATAAATGAATAGTATATGGTAGCCCGCTATTCATTCATTCCGCCGATTACGGTGCCTTTCTTTCTTTTTCTTTTTTTTTTTTCGTTTGTTTTTATCTCGAGTCTAAGGCGCCTTTTTTTTATGTCAGTCCATGAGAATTAGTTTGGTGTCTTGGAGTGGTCATTCTATCTATATCTATACTCTTTATAAAGGGAGCAGCGGGTCTCGCGTGACGCTCCCACGAGGCCGAGCTCCGTGTGTTGGGAAAACGCCTGGGAACTGTAGCGGACCTCGGGTTGGCCTGTGAGACCAGCCCCTTGGCCTGTTCTCACAGGCCTGTGTTGTATTCGGGGTAGGCCAGTCCAGTCCGGTACCTCTGTCGGTACCAGCCAGTCCAGTCCAGTCCCGTCAGTCCGCTGGGGATACCCCAGCCATTGTCTGTTTTCAGTCTCATTCTTCAGTTGCACATTTTGGAGTACGTGCGTTGGAGTCTGCGTGGGGAGCTGCGTTGTGCACCTTGCTCCCTCCTTCTTCCTCCATCTCCATCTCTGTCACTAGCGGAGCACCACACCTGGTGGGTCCGCTACATTGGTATCGGAGCGGGAACGGTCCCCGCCCCCACCCACCACACCGCACAGCAGGGAAATACGGCAAAAACCCGACAGTCAGGTTTTTTGGCTGTTTTGGGGGCGTTTTCGGGTGAAAAAGCGGGAAAAACAATGAAAAAAGGTGCTGCAGCAGGGGAGCTCCACGTGGCGAAAAAGGAAGCTGCATCACGACGCGTGCGCTTGCACGCCAAGGCCAAGGCCGCCGCATCACGCACACGCTGGCCCGCTGCCCCGCCCCGCTCCCGGATATATCTATATTTCAAGCCCGCTGCCCCGCCCCGCTCCCGGATATATCTATATTTCAAGATTTGGGATGCAGCTGTGGTTGCTGGGGTTTGAGCCCAGGCAGCTGCCAGGCTTGCGCGTGCGTATACCACTACCATAACACACTCGCCACAGTGTGTCCATAGCTTTGTAGCATGACACACTCGTGTTGAGGAGATGTCGTGCTGGCTATTTACTCCCCCCCGGTCGGTGAGCGCTGAGCAGCGACCAGCAGAACAGCAACGGTCGGGCTGCTATTTGCCCCCCCCTCCCTCCCCCCCCGGGCCGCGCCGTTGGTTGCTGTCGGCTGGGCACGTGGCCATCTGTCCCGCCACGTGGCAGCTCGTGCTGGAAGTGAAGACCCCCCTGCTCTACAGTGAAGAGGGCCTGCTCACACAGCAGACCCTACATCTGGACATCTGCAGAAGTGTTGCTGGGGGCTGATCAAGATCTCAAACCCCCCTCTCTCCTCCAACTGGCTGCTGCAGCAAAGACCAAGACCCTCCTGGTMTTGGTGTACCTTGTGCCCTTGGAGACACCAAGGGCCAGGTATCACTCCCTTCTCCCCTCTCCCTCTACTAACCCACTCTCCTTTTATTCACCCCTTCTCTTTCCCCCACCTTCTACTGCATCTTTTCTCTCCTCCTTTTATCTTCCCCACCCCACCTTCTCCCACCACCCATTCTTTTACTCTATTTTCTTCATCTCTTCTTTTCTTTCTTTCTTTTGTCCTTCCTTCTTGACCTCTCTCCACCTTTCCCTATCCCTCCTCTCCCCCAACTACCACCACACCATCCCCCTACCTCCCACTTCATCTTTTTCTTTCCCCCCAACTATTTCTTTCTTTTCTCCTTCACTTCTTCATTCCCCTTCCCCTCTACTTCGAATTTTTTTTCTTCTGTTTTTCTTCTTTCCACCTCCCTTCTGATTTATCTTTTCTTTTTTCCAAAAATTCAAAATCTCGTCCCTCCCACCCTCTTTTCTGATTTTCTGATTCATTTCATTTATTTTTTTATTTATTTTGGAAATTCGATTTTCTCTACGGCAACCCGAAATGTAATTAGTTGTTAGTTTTCTCATCCTCTTCCCCACCCTCTTTTTTTATTTTTTGATTTATTTTTATTTATTCTGAAAATTCGAATTTCTTGGTGGCAACCCTTAATCTGATTAGGTGTTAGCCTTTCTTGCTTTTGGCACACGTTTTGACCCCGTGGGGATAACGAACTGCTGCCGAAATTTTCTGATATTCTCTTACTTGGTCTTTTCGGCACACCCCATGGGGGTAACAAAATGCTGCCAAAATTTTTGAAAAATCAGATAACCCATTTCTCTCCACCTCCTCACACATTTATTTACTTATTTATTTATTTATTTATTATTATTTTATTTGTTTTTTGAATTTTTTTATTATTATTTGCGGCATCTCTAGTGTGGTCACCTTGGTCTCTCCTTTTCCCTTGGCGCATTCTTGACCCCGTGGGGGGTAGGGAAATGCTACTGAAAATTTCAAAAAAATAAATATTGTTTTTTCCGTTTCCATCCTTTTACTTATTTTTTTAATTATTTGTATTATTTATTTATTTCCTTAATTATTTTTATTTTCTTTCGAAATCTCGTTGTTTATTTATTTTTCTCCCGCTTTCCCCCCCCTATGCTTGTTCTTTTACTTTTTTGATCAGGTCACCGGTACCCTACCCTAACCACTTAAACCTCGGTTAGGGTTTTCTTAGGGTTTTGTAGGGTTTAGGGTTCTTCAAACCCGCTCACGCGGACCTCTTCTGGCCCCCTCCAGTCCGGTCCGTCATCTCCCCATGGTTGACGGTGTGTCACACGCCGTCGACACGGCGATGACCACAGCATCGGGCTCCACACCCGTGCCTGCGGACCAGGGCCATCAGCCCCAGGGGGATCTGCACACTCTCCTCACCTCCTTCCTGACGCCCATCCAGGCGCAACTCGCGACCCTCGCGCCCTTACAGGCGCAGGTGGCGACCCTTGCCGCCGGCGTGCGGCAACTCCAGGACGCTGGTCGTCCTTCCTCTCCTCACCCTACCTCTTCTCCTAGCTCCCAGTCCGGGGACAGGGTGGCCACGGTGGAGCTTCCTCCTTCGCTGCCCCCGACCCGACCATCTTGGTGACCGTCCACGCACCTAGCACGACGACCACCACGAGTCATGCCCTCCCTCAGTCCACGGGCGCACCCGCCCAGATTCCAGTCACGACAGTCACGGGACCACAACCCGCTACCATAGTCTTAGCTTTTCCGGGTGCCCCACTTCTCCCCCCTCTTCGCACGACCGCAGCGCCATCTGGCTCTTCCCCTTGTGGGAGGCCTCGCGCCGCTCGTGCGTCTCCCCCTGCCACACCTCGCTCGACCTACGTTCGAAGACTCGAGGACGAGATCGTCCGGCTCCGGACCGACCTCGCCCTCTCACGCCTTCAACCACCCCCGTCCTCACAGGTGACCGCGCCTTCCGGTGCACCCCCTTCTTCCTATATTCTTCCTTCCATGCAGGCTCGCTTCCCTCGACTGCATCCTACCAATCTCCATCCTACCTCCTCCCCATCCCCTCGGTCGCCGCGACCTCTTCTACCACAGCTCCCGTGCAGCGAGCTGCTGCTTCCCCCGCCGCTCCACCATGCGGCCTGGGCGTACAGTCAGTTACGCCTCCTCCTCCTCCAGGACCTGCGCCGACTTATTCCGCCGTAGCGCAGTCCCCTGCTTCCCGTTCCCCTCGCCGCCAAAACGGTGGCACACCACTCATCCGCTTGATGGACATCCCTTTGTATGACGATACAGGCATACGCGTGTCTAGGTGGCTGCAGGTTGCCACCTGCACGCTCCAGCTCATTGGCGCCACACCTGACACATGGGTGGGTCACCTCTCCACGCGCCTGCGTGGTGCTCCTTTCGACACCTGGAAGGATTTCTATGCTTACTCCCTGCGTGAGGGTCAGACTCCGACCTTCATGGATTTCCAGGCGTTCCTCGAGGATCGCTTCGGAACCCGATATGACGTGACTGACGCCTTCGAGCGTGTCGTCACTACACGCTGGTCCGGCTCTGGTGGCGCTGCCGGCCTGGATCGCCACATCCAGGTCTTTCAGGACGCTCGCCTCGTTTGTGACGTGGCGTTCCTTCCCGAGGCTGCCCTTATCGATCGTTTCTTGGCCAGCCTCCCGCTCGAGTACCGCTCCGAGCCTGTCTCTTATACACATCTAGATGTGTATAAGAGACAGGTCATCCACCTCTCCACGTGCCTGCGTGGCGGTCCTTTCGACGCCTGGGAGGATTTCTATGCTTACTCCCTGCGTGAGGGTCAGACTCCGACCTTCATGGATTTCCAGGCGTTCCTCGAGGATCGCTTCGGAACCCGATATGATGTGACTGACGCCTTCGAGCGTGTCGTCACTACACGCTGGTCCGGCTCTGGTGGCGCTGCCGGCCTGGATCGCCACATCCAGGTCTTTCAGGACGCTCGCCTCGTTTGTGACGTGGCGTTCCTTCCCGAGGCTGCCCTTATCGATCGTTTCTTGGCCAGCCTCCCGCTCGAGTACCGCTCCGAGCTATGGCGGTACGAGTTTACATCGGCCTCATAGGCTTACGAGGCCGCCAGGGACCATCAGCGGATGCGAGCCCGTCTTCACCCCGCCTCCTCCTCCCAGCCCCAGCGCACGGGCTACGCCTCCTCCTCCTCTCACGGCACTTCCCAGCGCCGTTCCCCTTTCCGCGGTCGCCCCCGCCGTTCCACGCAGCAGGGCCGCCACTTCTCGCGCCGCTTCAGCGCGCTGGAGTATGGTGAGCAGGACGTTGTTGCCCCACTGTCACCTGAGGGCGACCACAACGACGACCTCGATCTATGCGAGGCCGTCCACTATCACTTGGAGGACTCTACCCTCCTTGCAGCTGAGCGCCTTCAGCTCGCGCTCTCCGCCCTCTCTCGGGCACGTAGCCACCCCGGTCACGCCGACACGTTGCCCCCCGAGGTCCCTCAGGAGGACCTCCCTTAGGGCTTCGTCCCTCCTCGTGGTGTCCTTTCCCTTGAGGAGCGCGCGGCCATTCTGGGCCGGTGTGGGTGTTTGCGCTGCCGCTTGGACGGTCATACCTCCTCGCGGTGCCCTTACACTACCGCTCTCGACCGCCACTACGCTGACCTTTCTCGTCAGCGTCTTGCTCAGTCCCCCCCCGGCGCCTCACGTCCCCGCGGCGCCTCCTAGCCATTGTGCAGTGTACACCCGCACCCTCCTCAGTAATGGGCTTCCCGACATCTCCGTCGTGGTTCGCCCCTCTCGCCACTGGGGTTAAGGTATCGCAGGACTCGACCGAGTGTACTCAGCCCTCTGTCGCAGTACCGTCTGCGCCTCCGCAGACCACCGTCTCCCCTCCTTCCCCGCCGCGACTACTGACGCGTCGAGCCATTCGCTCAGCCCGTTGCAGCAAGCAGCTCGCTACTCGCGAGGACGTTGTGTCCTCTCTTCTGGACTTGAGCATGCTCCAGGCTCGTCAGGAGCGACTCACCCTCCATGTTGCTGCACTGCGGCGCCTTCTCGCTATCCTCTCTGACCCTGAGCGCACCCTGCCGATCATCCCAGTACGAATGGGGACCTCCACAAGGGTGTACTCCGCGCTGTGGGATTCCGGTTCTCAGGGCGACTTCATTCACCCACGCGTGGTGAAAGAAGCTCGCTTACCCACGACAGGGTCTCCAACTCCCATTTCCGTTACCCTAGGGGATGACAAGGCCCAGCGCTTCTTCGATCATACGGTCACTGACCTCCCTTTCTTCCTCACTCTCAAGCCGACTGATCGTTCCCCGGCGTCTCGTCGCCACCGCTCCTCTGCACATTTCGATGTGATGGAGACGGGGTACGACTTCATTCTCGGCACTCCGTGGTCTCGTCGGTTCCGCAGCACCGAGGCCGATTGGGCGACCAACACTCTCGTTCTCAAAACGAAGTGTGGACAGACGTATCACGTACCTTTCATCGGTACCACTGCGACACTACGCCCCGATCCTCCTCCCCCGGAGCCTTCAGTGCCCAAACCATCTCCTTCCATCACTGTCACCTCGCCTCGGCAGTTCGTCCACTTCATTCGACAGGACGACGTCACCTTCTTTATGATGGACGTGACGAATCTCTTACACAATGATCCACCCTGTCCCGACGMCGAGCTCATCCCTCTGGAGCCAGATCCTCCTTCTATCTCCATGGCTCCCATCTCTACTTCCGTCCCCCCGCCGTCCGTCGAGTCCACTCCGCCGTCGCGCGCTGACGCTGAGGAGCTCGCACGATATACGGCTGACCTAGAGCCCGCCGCTCGTGACCTCATCCGAGAGTACCACGGCGTTTTCCAATCGTCGTTCTCGTACGCCAATGTCGGGACAGAAACGCCTGTGAGGGTTTTTGCCCGAGTTTTTCAAGGTCAGACACCGTCCGACTTTTGTCGTTGGGGAATATGATGAGACTGGCGTTGCCAAAGTTTATTCAGGCCAACCTTATAACTGAAAGACTTAAAGCCTGACGTTGTCGACGTAAGACGTCGCTGACGTGTGACGTCTTCGACATTCGTTCGAGACAGCAGGGGTTGGCGGTACGCACTGTCGTCCGCAGTTCTCGACGAAGCCGCAGTAGTGTGCGGGCATGGAAAAACTAAAGTTAGACCTAGTCTACCTAAAATAATGTAGCAGCCGCGCGATTCAGGGCCTAAGTGAGCTAAAAAGAGGTGTGCGCCGGGTATAAAGCCGCGACGCAGGGGGAATAGGAAGGGGAGTTTAATTCTAGGGCCGCGGGGCTTGACGCCGAGCCAGGAGGGTGATAGGCCGATGCCAAGGTCACACGGCCAACTAAGCGTGCAGGGCCATGAGTTGGCAGAGCCGGCAGGGCCAAAACATACTATGGGCAGGCAAGGCGTGCAAGGCCGCGGAACGGGGGACATTGGTTGGGCCAAACTCTTTTTATAGGAGAGTTGCTCCTATCACTATCGTGATAGGAGCTAGCCCAGCAGGTTACCACACCAAACTCTCAACCGGCAGATACCGGGATCGAATCTGACATGTCGGCCTACTAGGCAAAGCTCCTTTTGGAGCTGCCCTACTATAACGCTGCCTGCACGATCGGTTCTGGCCGTCCGATCGCACAGATCGCACGGCCCAGATCGGGCGCGCTGTTACAACATGGCCCTGCGTAAGGAAGACGAACATATAGTAGGGCTGCCCCTACTACGCCAGCCCGATAGGTAGCATGCCAAACTGTTATCCCGCAGATACATGACTTCGGGCCGGCTCCTTTTGGAGCAGCCCAGGCGGTCGGGCGCGGCTGATTCCGACCGCGTGATCATCAGGATCAAACGACTGTAATCAGCCGCACGGAATCTTGCATGGCCCCTGCGCAAGGATGACACGCATAAATCGAGAAATGATTTTAAGTTTTTATTTTTTATTTTTGAGAAAAAAAAAAAAACAAAAAAAACAAAAAAAACTAACCTGTCCCGTAGCTGGCCGCGTAAGCGTCCACATACGGGTCTTGT